ATAATTAATAAATCATTCAACTTAGAACGTACACATCAATAATCATAGGATATTTCAAAGCTGGATCGAACTTGGGTGGTTTCATAACACCAATGTGTGCTTCTGAAAAAAAGAAAGTGAAGGTCTTTCGATTAATTCCGTAAAGATTTTGCTCGCCTACCATAACCTGATGGCAGTTTTACCGCTTCGTAAGTTATCTCGGGGAGATCGAATGGAATATGAGCTTCCTCAGCACCCTCTAGAAGTCTATCTTAAAAGAAGACTATTTTGCCTTAAGCATTCTAATTAAAGATGTTTCAAAGCTTCTTACTAGTGTTCGGCGTTTGTACGTCCATGAGATACATTTTGGTATTCTGGAATGGCCTCACACAACTTACTACGGCTCGCTTTCCATCCGGGGACACTTCATGGCTACCATAATCACAGTTAGGAACGAAAGAGGACAACGACACTATGGAGGACTAAAATTCATCAACTACTACTTTCCATTTTCTTTTTTTCTGCCTTCCTTTCCGCAAACCTGATTGGCCATAGTAGCTTGCGAAACTCTGTAGAGGTGCATGGTACCTAGACCTCCACCAGCCGAGCTAAACGTCAGAACATCTGACGCCATGTCGTAACCTTTAATCTCGCGAACATCGTACGCCCCACCATGCCAAGCAGTAATTCGGCTACTACCGTTTTTCTGAATTGTGCATATAAAAAAATGCTTGACTTGCTTGAATTTGACCGAACCTGAATTTGCAAATGGGCAACATGGTTATAGATATTTCCATCACTATAGGGACGAGGGAGAATAACAAAAAATCCGGTTCCCGAACTGAAAACATTCTTAAAGTCCGCCGGTTCTGCCCACATGCTTCGCCCGTTGATAGTAAACGATTGGACATGAGTCTAAATATAAGCTTTCTGCGGAAACTCGGAAAACGAGAAATTTTCTTACCAGAACACAGTCGATCTCGTTGCAAAGGGTAATGTAAATTATGTTTTGCTCACGGTTTGCCCATACCGTCATTAATCGCTCATCTCCGAGATTCCGTCTTACACTTGACGGCATAGTCAGCCAAGCGTTGGAAAAGATATAATAGGATCTGCGAAAAAACTAAGTTAGAGTGAAAAGTCAAGCACAATTGGAACTATTGCGTACTTACTGGTTTGTCATGATCAGCTCTGCCGGCGGTTCGGCAATAACAGTGCGGTTCGTACGTACCGTCCAAAAGTACAATCTGACAAGGGGATTATGCTCTACTCCTGCCTTGGGGTAGGGAATTTCGACGTACCTGATAAGATAACTTTAATATTTGCATGATTGTTGAAATAATGTTTACAACAGCCAAGTTCGTCAACACTTAAAAAAGCGATATACAATCAGAGCTTACTGAGGGTACTGGGAGGCTCTACTATATTTGGGAATGTAAATACGGCTAACTGATCGATCATCGAATCTGAAAATTAGATTACAAGGAATTTTGTTTGTATCAAAAACGATTGAGTAAATCGGCTGATGAAAAATAGGAGAAACCTATTCGGTTTTGCTCAC